TCTCTCTCTCTCTCTCTCTCTCTCTCTCTCTCTCTCTCTCTCTCTCTCTCTCTCTCTCTCTCTCTCTCTCTCTCTCTCTCTCTCTCGCCGCGCATCCCTCTTCCCGGTCCTCCGGCCTGTCTTCGTCGTTCCGGCATTGTTCGTTGCGTTCGCCTCCCTGTTTCCGGCCGGCGTTGCGATCCCACGGTGATGTAAGCCTGTATGGTGCAGATCTCTCTCTCTCTCTCTCTCTCTCTCTCTCTCTCTCTCTCTCTCTCTCTCTCTCTCTCTCTCTCTCTCTCTCTCTACTCGCATCTATCTGCGTTTACGTTCGGTTTGCATTTTCTTGTCGCAGCCTGGCTGCCTGTCATCGCCGCCGTGAAGCCAGGGCTATCTCGAAATCGTTATGCAATCGAGCGAAGTGAAATGGCAAGTGCAGAGGGGGACTTAGATGCGTTGGCTGCGATGAAATGTATGGGCAGCGGAGTCCGTTGCGTCGTCGTGGGTCTGCGCAGAGGGATCGAGTAGCAGCCGATCGAGAAGCAGCCGTGGTTGACTCGACTTAGGTTCCGGCTATCCGTCCGACCTGAGAGCACAAGGTTGGGGGTTCGGGGAATGGGGGGCGTCCGACGAAAGGGGGACTGGTGGATTTGTTGGCGGGGTGTCCGAGGAGAGATGTGAATGCTTGCCTTTCTGGCTTGCTGCTGTTGAGATGACGTCTTCGCAGTGCCGACGATAAGCTCACGGGTATCATTAGGTGACATGAACGTAGCTGTCGGTAATGGACATGGAAACGTATTATTCGCTGAGATAGCATCCTGCCATCGCATAGTAGCATCATTCTGCGATTGTTAGAGCGAACTCCAAGCCCTGAGAACGCCGTGCGCTCACGACTGTGAAGGTTGAAAGCCGACGCGAATTTCGACCAGGGTACGCGAATATCGTCCAGAGTACATCGAGGGGGAATATCGTGGTGGTTCATGAGCGGCGCCTTTTTAATGTCATGCATTGGACCCATTTCAGAGCACTCTGTGTATTACGTAATTGGTATCTTCCCCTGCGAATGTGTACCTTGACACGGGGACTTCCTATCGTATCCCCACTCGGGGAGTTATCCCTGCCTGTCCGTCATCATCTCTTCACTTTCTTTCTCTCTCTCTCTCTCTCTCTCTCTCTCTCTCTCTCTCTCTCTCTCTCTCTCTCTCTCTCA